ATTGCCTCAGCTAAAAATGCATCTAATTTGAACAACCCACCACTGATATTGTATAATGAATGCTTATCATGCTCCTGGAGAGCAAAACGTTGCCACAATGAATATGTCATGTTAGTTGCACTTGTGCCCTTTTGCTTTACATATTGTCGGTAATTCTACCAACATTATTACACATTTGACATTGCCACGAAACTGCAGTATCCTAAGGAGTTCATGGAATCTGTCTTGCTGGCAGCTAAGAAAACTTATTATAGAACAGAGCGTAGAACAACACCTCAGACCAAGAATGTGCTGGTCCTCCCATACATTGAAAATTTTTAAAAATTCATGGACTGTTAGAAGCATTCTGATAAAGAATTCACCCCAACAGTGTGCTGGTGGTGTCTAGAGAATTGGTTGCAATGGCTGCACTCTCTCCTATGTGGGACAGACAGGAAAATCTTTAAAAGTTAGAATATCACAACATTGTTATTCAATACATATACCACAGGAATCGAACGCGATTTTCAACCATATTAGAGCTTGTAATAACCCGTCAAACTGGCAGGAAGCAAGAATTATCTTCCCTTGTTTCTCTTGGCTTTAAAGGAATATTGTACAATCAGCAATTATTAAGCATGATAAGCATTCGTTATACAATATCAGTGGTGGGTTGTTCAAATTATATGCATTTTTAGCTGAGGCAATATTACAAAGTCCAAAATTGGGCTCTTATACGAATGCACTGGACTACCTTAAATGAAGTGCCACATCGGGGAATTAGGGGCTATTTTATCTGAAGGTTGAACCAGAGTTTGCCTCAGAATCATGTGGGACGAAAAACTAGCCGTCTTCCTTGAAATTACAGATGTCTCCCTCTTTAAATGAGATAATTTTTACGAGCCCCATTTCCTTTGTATAATTTATAGAAGTCTCCCCCTTTAAATGGCTCAGTTTTCTTGTCCCTTTAAATGGACCCACTTTCTTGTGGATGGTACTCCATAATTGTCAGTGACTTCCATACCACCGGCAATATAATTATGCACGTAAAATTACTTGTATCATAGCAGAGTCTGACGGAATTTTTGATAATCGCCACATTACTTTCGTTTAGGCTGCTATTAAAATATCAGCGTTTGTGGGATTTTTCGATTGCTATAATATTCAACCTTTCTGGCTATGGGTACTGGTATGCCTGGGGGCATTTCCTGCTCCCTTCTCTTTCTCTCTCTCTCCCTCCCTCCCTCACTCCAGTGAATACATCCTCTGGGAGCATGATGGCTTGGACATCCTCTTTTTCTGCAACTTTGCAAGCTCCTGGTGATGTGTTGATTGCATCATGAAAGGCCTAGAGCTATCATTCTACTCCCCCTGTGGTTGTTTTGCATATATATACATAAATACATACACACACACTGTGTGTGTGTGTGTGTGTGTGTGTGTGTGTGTGTGTGTGTGTGTGTGTGTGTGTGTGCGCGCATCGTGCCAAATAGGTAAAATTGGTCAATTACCATGAACTCGTTTAAAATTAAGTCCTTTCTAAATTTTTCTCTTACACATTTAAGACATATTTTTCATTTATGTTAAACTTACCTAACCATATTATAACAAGCATGATTTAATTTAGCCTAATCCAACTAAATATATTTTAGATAAGTTTACAATAATTTAATAATAAACAAACACAATGAAATATATTTTTTCCACTGGGTTCAGAATGATATTTGCGAAATTACTGCATACACAAATTTCGCTTGCCTTATTCAGCAAGAAGAGTGTTGCTACTGAAGCTAAAATCACAAGTTTTACCTATTCGGCATGACATACATACATAAATATATATGCGCACTATGTATATGTGTGTGTGTGTATATATATATACAGCAACATACAGCTCGTGGAGGTTAACAATATTTCCTTTATAAAAAAAATATATATGCTTTTATACAATTTTTAACAGACCAAGGTTTATGGCTGAACATGATACCCAGCATACCTAAGTCCCATTTGAGCCATATAACATCTTTGTTTCTGGACCTCAAGCATTTGGATTTGTTGTTGTTAGGGAGTATTAGAAGAATTTGCAGATCACACACATAACACCATTCATCCATTAGTAAGTGAAAAGCGTATCTAAATTTACTTGCTTGACTATCTACAATGTGACTTTAGGCATTGCTACAGCACACCACACAAAGCATACCAAATGCAGTCCTTCCAAAATGCTTTTTTTTTTTTTTTTTGGAAGTTTCCAGACCTCAGGCAAGAGATATAATACACACTCATAAATGTTTATTTTAAAACCAATATGCAAAAAATTTACTTAGTCAATGCAAAAGTGACCAATTAAGAAAATTATGACAAATCCAAAGAAATCATTATCATGTATGGAAAGAAAAGCCTGAGATCTAGATTTTTAAACATAAATGTTTTATTTCTTGTTGCCTACCTTGAGCTGAGGTGTCACTGGATTCTGTATGGCCCCCTCTCCACCCTGCCTGACTAGCGGGAGGTAACACTCCTGCAAGCAAAACATAACAAAAGGTTATCATCAATAACACACACTGACAAAACCAAGTAATACAAAATTTCTATGAACAGATGGACCATATCAAACACTTCCGAATTTTCACACTATAATTACTCTACCAGTACGTGGGTTATGAGCTTCAGTTCTTAGGTCCAGCTTATAATATTCTGTTGGCTGATGCTTTTTGTACTGCAGCAAATTACTGTATCTGTTTTTGAAGGCAAGGATAGGGATACAAGTGATGTTATCAGTGTTGCCTTGCAAACACCCAGTTCTCCAGAGTTTAACATTAATTTTAACTTCATCCCATTCACCATCTTCTAAGATTGTGAGCTTTTACAAATACTGACTTTAAGACCTAATCAAATCCATTGAGTTTTGAGCTATAATATAAAGATGCACACTCCAGGACAGAGTTTAGACTGGATATGTTCAAGAACTTTTGTATAAAGTACAACGTATTGTGGATTTTGAGATGACCCATTCTCTGTGTTGTCTTTACATCATTCAGATTATTTTTGGAAATTGTGGTTGAGGCATTGGATTCCATAGGGTCTCAAAACAGGATGTTATCAGTGGAGAAAATGACTAAGACTAGGTAACATAGATCTCACTGCACTGATGGTTGGCTGGTTGGACAAGATGATCTCACATTAAGGAGGAGTCAAGGAATCCTTGGAGTCTTTTATAACTAGAGATCCTTTGATGTGAACTTTTTTGTGCATACCACTGTCATCAACCAGGAACCAGATATTCAGATCTCTTCTTGGTAATCTGCTGATGAATTAACTAATCATTATGCACAAGAAAAAAGGCGAGTCCTTCTGCCAAATGCTTTCTGACAGTGACTTCATGATCAAATTGAATATACTGTACATATCATGAAGAGCCCAGGAGACGGGGGGAACAAAAATCCATTACTAAAACTGATATGCAGAACCTGTAATATGTTTGTGATCGATTCTGAGAGCTTTTCTACTCTCACAGCCTGACTTTGAACCAGGCCATTCTGTTGACTGGCTGTTCAACGAGGTTGCTGATGTTGGCAGATTACTGACTGACATAAGTCATCACAGCCTAGCTGCTCTAGCAAAGAAACCAAAAATATTTTTTCTCATATGCAAAATCCAGGGCAAACACCTGATCCAGTATCAGGCCCCTCACTTTAGGGAGATGTAAATTCCACTGATGATGACAAAGAAATAAGTGAAATACTGAAGTCACAGTGTGACTAACAATGAGCCATTAACCCTTTAATGTCTCATGTAGATCTGTGTTATTGACTTTAAAATCACTTACGTGGGTCTAAGCAAACATTCTAGGGAACTCAAATTTGGCACAGAAAGCCTGGTAGGCATAGACATGAAAAAATAGGTCTGCAAAGTCAGTGTGCAAAATACCAAAAATCGAAGCACCAGCAGTTCATCGTGGGAATGCCATTAAGTTTATCATCGTCCATTATGCCACATTGCCACAGTATTCTCACTCCCTGGAAAATTATGTACCTCTATTTTCCCTATAAACAGTTCCAAAATGAAGATACTGATTCTAAGAATGAGTTCTACGGTTTGAAGGTGGGTCAATGGGCCACAGCAGTAATGGTATGGTTGACCAGGCAAGCACCAGACAAGTTTTGCCAAAGGAAGGATTCTGGGAGTTTAAAAAACTCTCAAAACTCAGAGGTATATGAAGGGTAAGTGACAGACTGACAATGAAAATGCCACAAATAGCACTGAAAACCCTGATGACTCATAAACATCCACTTCATTCACACCACAAGCAAAAGCTAATACTATTCTCCTATGGTTTGGGCATAGATGTGAGAAGTAATGATGATGGTGATGTGGGCCTTGATTTTCTATCAAGTGATGATTAGTCAAATGATAGTGACTATAATTATTCACCTAGGAAAGATCAGTTTACATGGTGCAGGGTCGGGTAATGTCCCAAGTGCAATCCCCAAGGGACGTGGTGGATTCAACGGAATTCAACCTCAGCATCTGATAGGGATAGTATCGATGGTCTCTCTACTAGCATGGGCAGTGAGCAATGCAAGCAGTGCATGCAGCACCAGGTAGTCAGGACAGACACACACGGCAGCAGTGTCAGCCAAGGGAGACCATATACCCATGTTGCCCTGGATTGTGCAGATTTTGGGAATCCAGGTGACTTGCAATCCTGCTTCTTAGCACTCTTTTCAAAGATTTTTATGATGTGGGACGTCACAGCTTTTGGTCTATAGTTCTTAGCTAATGTTTTGCTACCACCTTTATGGAGGGGGGCTATATCCGTTGTTTTAAGTGACTGGAATTTCACCCATGTCCAAGCTCCTCCTCCATAGTGTGTGGTGTGTGTGCGGTGTGGGTGTGTATGCGGTGTGGGTGTGTGTGTGGTGTGGTGTGTGTGGTGTTGTGGTTGTGTGGTTGTGGGGGGTGTGTGGTGTGTGTGTGTGTGTGTGGTGTGTGTGTTTTGGTGTGTGTGTGTGTGTGTG